TATTCAGTAAATGCAGTAATTTACGTAACAGTAATATGCACAATATTTTATATATTTTTTTGGTTGTATATTTTTGAAAGGATTTTCTTTCAAATAAATCTGATATCTTGTTTTATATAATTGAAATTACTACGTTTTTCTTACTTACTTACATTAAAAAAAAGTGCGGTATACTAAGTATATTCTAAGATTTGCTTTCTTCTAAAAGTAAAGAAAACGTAATGTCTATACTAAGCACAGTGATTAAGCGATTTATCAATTCTTGTTGTATCATTACATGATATATTCATAATGCACGTATTAACATAACAAATTTTAAATTGTAACCGTATAAATTATATTATTGAATACAATGTGATGCAAAATATCACGTTTTTATTATTATGTCATAGATATCGAGCATGAGAACTTCGTAGAATAAAATGTTAGCTTTGAATATGAAAAGATCTAAAACAAGATCAATCTAAAATAAAACTATAATTTCATATAACTACTAATTGGAAAGGTAAGGAGAAAATTGTGCGCATAGCATTAATTACTGTTTTAGCGAATACAATATGTTATTATCGACATAGAAAACAATATACAAACTTTAGCCATATATTTTTAATATTAATCTCTCATTAAGCTTAATTAAGCTTATAACAAACTACGAAAAATTTTATTTGAAGAACGACATTATAAAAGTTACAATATTTACGATGATCCATATTAACAAAATTGAGCTAGTGGTTAACAAAGTATAATGAGCGATTTTTAATCTGAAACAAGCAAGTTATAATATATATGTTTCACGGAGCAAAGAATGAAGGAAACGCATGAGTAAGAGCATTGTAAGAGTAATACTCACTTCTTCATTTTTGCAGCTCCTTCTTTTAAAGTATCCATCGGGTCTTTAACATAGTATATGCGAAGACCGGGTATCATGTACTTCAAATATTCTTCCCAAGATAGATCTAGTATATTGAAGTCGAAAATCTCACGATCAGTTTGATTTAAACTATCCCAGAGTCTTATGACAGAGTCATTGCGAAATTGCCATTGGCGCGTTGAGAAGTATGATATCACATCGCAAAATATATGTATTTTTTTATAAGTTTTCAGCAGCCTAAAAGTTGTCAATTTTATTACTTACGGCTAAGAAATCTTACTTACAATGAGAACTCTAGAATATACAAAATAAATATCTCTGGTAATTCACGTTAACTATTCTCTTACTTTTCCTTGGGAAAAGAATTTTCTTTATTTTGGAAACAATTTTTTAAAAATCTTTATCTTTTTATAGGTTTTAAAATTTTATAGGTCTCGAAACTGGCGCTATTTGTCAAAACCTTCCTCTATTTTAGCTCTTATATTATTAATAACGCACCATATATTTTTTAATTTCGAAGGAATTTAATAATTTTCTTACATAGGTTTTCGGCCCATGAGGAAAGCCAGAACGTCAAGTATAGCACCAGGTATTATATGCAAAAATATCATATATATCTCATGCATAAATCGGTATCTATTTAGCGTGAACATGTAATACCAGATGACCATCGTACTCGGCACACGCTTGCCGTATTTCTCATTTAATTTCATGAACCTTTCCCAAGTAATAGGATTTTGAGTTGACGACACGCAGTTGTAAATCGGAATTCTCTCGGTTTCCGGAACGTTCGAGTTTTTGTTGTCAATGCTGAGTAAAGTATCCCTAATAAGAAAAGCATGTTAAAAAAAAAGTATAAGATATTAAAAATAAAAAAAATATCAGATATTACAAACGAAAAAGGATATAAGATATTAAAAACGAAAAAAAATGTAAGATATTAAACCAAAAAAAGTATAAGATATTAAAAACGAAAAAAATATAAGATATATGACAAAGGTCCATTTTTCCAAATGTCAACTTACTTTCTTTTGGCGGTGTCCCAACCTGCAACGATAATGTTCGCTATCACGTAATCAGCGGGCATAATTTCCGCTGTATTTTCGGGTATGCAATGTAAAGTACGTAGCAAACCCATAGAACTGCCTACAATTACGCCTACTGCACCATATATGTTGTTGATCCATCCAGGTATTGGTTCTTTCGCCGTTGATGTTACAATCGAAGGACGTATGATGCAAGCTGATAACCCGGCGCTGTATTGTCGCACTGTATCCTCGGCAATCGCCTTGGTGTACACGTAAGTATTCGGCCATTCGCCTACTAGTCTGCACTCATCCGATGCAAAAAGAATAAATATTTCATGAGAATTCTTATCGCGCACCTTTGATATCGAGTAAACTATGGTCGGAGAATGCGCCGTTTGAACTTCTCGAAAGAGCACTTACGTTGGCGTTATTTTGTTCAACATCTCATCGTCCAAAACGTTGAGTAACGTCAGTATCTTATCCGTATCTAAAGGCGGAGAATAAAATTTCTCATCGATGAAATTGTTCACGCACTGAGAAAATGCGGTTGATGTATAAACAAATGCCTAAATAAAAAATAATCAAAAGATCAATGTGCGTTTAATTATGTGTCTATGAGAATGAGATATGACTGAAACAGCACCTCTAAATTCGGCATCTCTCTCGCGAAGAGGAGAATTTCTTTGATTCCTCTCACGTTAACATGCACCGCATTTCGAATCGTATCATTAAATCGCACGGACGCCGCTAAATGGAAGATTATGTTTGTGTCTAAGAGATGTTTTCGGTTTTCCGACGACAAGCCTAGATTTGCTTCGCTGAAGTCGGCTTCTATCATTATTACTTTAGTAATAAAGTCAGGCTGCTCTTTTTTTAATCTATCGTAAACCTTAAAACAGAGACTGGAAATAAATTGCGGAGCAAGGATTACGATTGTTTTCTATTTAATGTATGTTCTATTAAATGTATGTGCCACTTATGTTACTAACAACGCAATCGAAGTGCTCCTTGAAACGCTCTTCTGCTGATTTTCCTTTCTTCCCCTTCATACATATGTACATCTTTCCTATACCCAGACAGCATCTAAAAGTTATTATTCCTTTTTAATATTTTCTCGTATCACGCGATTTCTACACTCTACAATCTACATTACATTCAGTAAAATTTTACGTTTAAAATTTTATTCAAGAAAGTAAATTTTTAAATCTGTTAATCTCTGTTATAAATTGGACCGTTTAATTTGTCATCTTGCGATATGACATGTGTATATTTCGCGTAGCTTTAATAGTATTTTGTCTATTATAAAAGGAAAATAAAATACGTGTGTGTATATGTATTCAAATATTTACCGCAATAATCTTTCTATCAGAAGTATACCGAAGAAACCGGAACCGCCCGTTATAAGAACGTTACGTCCTGTATAATATTGGATGACTTCGCTCGAGCAATTGCTAGTGTTTCGAGGATCTGACATGTCCAGCAATTCGTCGATGTAATCTTTATTTTTCTGTATCATTTTGTTTCACAAAGAAAGCGACTTTTTCGTTCAACCTTCGTTCTAAGTATATACACTTTTACTACGCAGTTGACAAAGAAAATTCCACAATTTCTAATTAACACCGCAAATTGTTATTTTATAGCGGGTTAGATGACAAATTCTTCGAACTTTCGCCAATGTGATGAGAAGTGTTCCTTCAAACTGTTACTCCCTGTTAAGATATAATCGCGTAGAGAATCTATAGAAACTAACAAGTTACGTTTATAACAAAATGTGCGACAAACGAACTCAATAGTGGACGCGTTTATATTGAGAGAGAAATGCACATGACTATAAAGAAGAGTAAGAATATATGTGGAGGGAAACAATGTAATTAAATCCGAAAGACTTACGTTCGTTAGAAGGAGAGAAAATGAAAATACCTTGTCTACCGTATTTTAATGACCACAGTGACTCTGCCAATAAGAACACAAATGTATATAAGTCACACGTGCATATGTACATATATACATTGTACACTTTGCCCTGATCCCAGTCCCATGCATAATTGAACGTACTTTACATTTTAAATCATGTGTTTTTATTAAAAACTGCCCACCCAACGTGCATATAACGTCTAAAAGACGTCTTATGTAAGACGTCTTAATGACATTACCAACAGTCTATATATATCTATATATATCTATATATATATATATATATATATATATATATATATATATATATATATATATAAAAAGTGTTTTATTTAAAAAAAAATAAATGTCAGGAGGGCCGACTTGGCTCCTCTCGATACACGATAAATCAAAAAGAGAATAAATAAAATTGTTACACAAAAATGAGAAAAAGAAATCAGTGCTGAGACGACAGCTCGGGACACTACTAGACAGATCGAGACACACGGACGATACCACCAATAGACGAGAGCACCATAAATAGAGCAGCCGTGAAATCGCGATAAAACGGTATTCAAGTTCCCAAACGAAATTAATCTTCCCTTCCCGATAATCAACCGATACGGCAAGAGCGAAATCAAGGTCCCACGTTGGGCGCCAAAAATTTGCGACGTCTTTCGCGAGGCTAGCTCGCGAGCGACGGCAGACAGTCGCCTGTCAGCCGCGTCGACAAATTGCCGTCGGCTCCGGTTCACGCCACAAAACGAAAACGATGAGGTGGGCGCCAGATACGGAAAAGGCCGCACCACCTCGATAAACGCGAGATGCGACAAGCGACACAAACTTCGCGTGCCCCGGGAATCGTCGGGACCGGTAACTCCTCGTGGTTTTAAGTTGGAGACGGGATGGGTTCAG